TTAGGCACAAAAATTAGTGTCCCAATATAAATTTAAAAGCCTCAATGCTAAATATTTGGTAATTTTCATTTTTTTTCGTCGTATTTTTTATCGAGCTGATAAAATGATAATCACTGATCGTCAAAGACTTTATCGAAAGAATTTGTCGATCATTTCTAAATACACATATGTTTCGTAGATTTTTAATGTTTTTTGCAGGGCCCAGAAATTTGGGTCAGATTCATCGGAACTGAGTGATGCTAGCTAACCAACTATATAGCAGTCAGACATTGACTTCATTTCTCCCGTTCCTGGTTTCGCGCGACAACGTTGCGCAGCTATTTATATATATTTAATACAAAACAGTAATATTAGAAACTAGCTTAACCCGTCGTAATTTGTAAATATGTTATAAAGGTTATGCTATTTGGTGATTTTAGGATTGGTCAAGGATAGTTTAAGTTGTGCTGTATTAAGTGTGAAAAGCTTGTCAACAAAGTGATAGAGCGATCATTATTGCGAAATCAGAGGACCCAGATTACATAAAATTGTTGTTAGCTTTTATGAAATTTGATAGTTTGCTACGTAGTTCTAAGCAGGTTTTCGTGATGTAGTAGCTTGATTGATATGATAGTATTATAGTTATTAGTTTCTTTGTAGTAAGTAATTGTTGTCAGAATTAGGAGTATGGGTTTCCTATGTAGGTGTAAGGTGCTTCGTATGGCAATGGTTATTTAAAGATTTTTGGAATTGTTAGTAGATTTATTTTTCTTTTCATTATCGCTCACCTTGTGTTAAGCCTGGCTCTATCTCACGCCCTTTTCCTCCCTAGTGTCTTTTCTGTTTGTTATTGTTCTTTTACCAATCGTTTAAATTCTTTGTTAGTAAGTCTTGTTTTAGTAAGAAGAGGTTCCGCAGATGGTCTGACGTTGCAAGAACCTCTTGGTTAGGCTTCATGGTTGTTTCGGCAGTGCAAGGACCTCTTAGGCTCCATGGTTGCTTTGTAATGCAAGGATCTGTACAGTACATGTTTAGGGCATTCGAAAGTTAATTTTTTTAGTTCAGTTGCTGTTAGTACCCGATTCTCTCTTTTGCTATAAAGGCTTTCATGATAGCTTGTTGACGTACATGTTTAGATTTCCTATAGTATATGACCAGGGTAGTGAAATTGTAATTACGTATTTCCTTAGTCCGATCATATGGTATAGTAGTGCCTTGGGATGACGGACACATTTAGGTTTTCTATAATGTGTGACAGGGTAGTGAGCTTGTGGTTACGTATTCTATTACTCCGATGATATGGTACAGTAGTGCCTTGAGATGGTGGACCTATCTCCATATGTTTTTTTATTTAATTAGTAATAAAGATAAGTTTCTGATCGAGCAATAATAATTTGTTTTTTAGTATCATGTGATACATGAAGTTTATAGTCAATGTGGCAGTGCATGTTATATTTGTTAAATATTTGTGTATTAAATATTAAATATATATCAATGTGTAAGTAAATAATTTACTGGGGTTGTGAGAGGTAGTGATGTAGAAAGTTAATATATAAATAGTAGTTTATATGAAATTTTGGATGTGAAAAGGCAAGTGACATAAGTGGTAATATTGTGTTAAAATTTGGTAACATGTTAATTATTTTGATGTTATTTACAAAATTTTGTTTAATAAGGTGCAGAAATTTTTTTCTCATTTGTATTTATATTAAAGAATAAGGTTATTTGTATTATGCTCTGTTATAGAAAAATGATTGTAAGGATTAAATATGTTTGACAGAATGAAAATAAAAATATTAGTTTGATTTCAATTTGTGTTATTGGTACATATTCTGTAGGGCATGGAGATTGTGAGGTCAAAATGACATTATTTGTAGCAATTGATTCTATAAAAAGAGACTCAGATACACAAGCTGTTTTTGAGAAGAATGAGTTTTATTCAGTTAGAGTAAGATTGTACTCAGAAAGCACAACAATAGCATGAGATTAAAGGTAATTAAATGATATTTTGTTAATGTTTTTATTAAATTTAATTAATAGATCTGTTTAATGTATTATTGAAATAACAGTTTTTTAATCTACTGATTTGAAAATTCTTAATAAGGTTCATGAGTCAAATAAGTGTTCATTAAAGATCTCATTGGTTGGAATCATCCATGAAGTACCAAAGGAAGTTAGTAATAATGATAATGCTGTATTTGATATACTTGTAACAAATTATACTAGTTAAAATTATAAGTTTATTGTAAAAGTTGTTTATCTGTATCTTAAATCAAGATTCGGATACATTAAAAATGTAATTTGAGTGCAAGAATTATTAGTTTTTGTGGTTAATCAGATGAAATTAATTAATAATAATTTTTTTGCATATATGACAGATATTAATAACATTAATATTACTAAAGCAAAGGCTTCTGACTATAGTAGTTCTCATGTATCATCATCATTAGCAAATTTAGCTTGGTCAAAATTATTGAGAATGTATCAAAAAGTTTCTAAGATTTTAAAAACAGTAAATGAACCTTAGTCATCATTGGATGAATTATGTTCTTCAAAATGTTTAAAAACTGATTACAATGATGAATACAGAAACTTGTCATATATTGAAGAGAAAGATTTTATAGAAGTTAAACAGGTTGATTATGAAATTCAGTTAGAAGCAGATAATGTTGTTAGAAGTTCAACTGAAAAAAAAAATTAAAGAATCATTAAATAATGTTAGTAAAAGTCAAAAAGAATTTAAAAATAGTTATAAAAAGAGCAAGATTTATGTAACTTGTAGCGTAGCTTATAAAAGTGATAAATTAAATGATTTTTATACAGATATTAGTAATGATAAAGAGGAGTGATAATATAAGAGAATTATATATACATGTATGTTTTATTATATATAATATTTTATAAAAATTTTGAAATCAAATTGAGTTAGATTATATTATTACTTTGGTTATATATAATAATTTTTTTTAAATAAAGCTATTTTTAAAAGAGAAAGACCATTGCAATGTATTTTTGACAGTATAGTAATTTAAGTATTAAATTTAGAAAAGGCAATAGCTTAAGTTTTTTTAATTTGAATATTTTGTATAAAATTTTTTTTAAATAATTAATCAATATACTTTTTTTTAAAACAAGATTTTTATTTTGGTAAAATTGTTATTTTCAAAATGATCACTAGTAACTGGTTAAAAATGTTTAGAACCAAAGTTTGATTATTTAAGATCAAGTACTTCTTGGTAAACAATGTTTTTTATTATGTTTTGACCAGGTAAAAGCATAGCTTTTATAAAGAAAAAGCTTTTTGTTCATGAAAACATAACATACAGTTGTTTATGACTGAAAACTGGCTCTGTAAGCATTAAACCAACATTTTTGAATATTTGACCTTGTGATTTATTTATTGTTATAGCAAATGCAAGTTAGATAAGAAATTGAGTTCTTGTAAACTAAAAAGATAGTAAATCATCTGTGGGAGATAGTTTGATCCTTAGTATTAAAATTCATTAATTGGTATAGTTTTTATTTGTTAGTTCACAATCTAGAACATGATTATGCATTCGTCTCACAATCATTCTTGTTCTATTTCAGAGGCCTTGATTAACATCAAGATTATACAGTAATATTATAATAACATCTTCTTTAAGGATAAATCAATAGGGTAGAAGTTTATTTAGAGTTAAAGTATATAAAAATTCTTCTAGAAATTGTATTAGATCTTTATTTTGATCATAAATCACTTTGTTAATGCTAAGCTATAGTTTTTCTTGTCTTTGCATCTGTTAAATTACTTCATTATACACATCAAGAGTCATCTAATTTTTAGAACAAAGGATTACGGTAGAGAGTAGAGTTTTTTTATTGTTAATATTTAGTGCATCATAAAAGACATCAGCTATTAAGTTATTTGTTAAAATACATTGTGATGGAATCATAATTTCATTATTGACTATAGGAAAAGTTCTATTTTCAAGATGAAAAAGCTATTGTGCAAATTTTATTTCTTTAGGATAAGTTCTCATATTTAAATGAAGTCATATAATATCAAAGTATTTTTAAAGATGTGAATTCTTAATATTTGCAGCAACACAGATGGCTCTTGACCTCTTTTGGATTACAGACAAAACTTGCTGAAAATCACTATCTAGTATTATAATTTTCTCTTCAAATAGCTGATTAGATTGTGTTAGATCTCAAAGGCCAATTTCAATTGTGTCTATTGCCTGGTAAGAAGTTATCAGAGCTTTATCCCATATGATTATACTGGCTTTTCTAATAATTTCAGTATCTTTACTATTGCAGTCAGTAATATTCATAAACTTTCATTTAATATTAATGATAATTTGAATTAACTATATACAATAGTTGCTTTTGATAATAGGTTGGCTATAATTTCAGTTCAAGCAACTATTATTACATTGATATTTAGTCCATTTAGTATATGATATAATGTTATGTACAGAAATGTTTTACTGGTTCCACTAGGACTGTCAACAAAAATAAATCTGTTATTATTTTGTCTATTAATAGTTGCTATAATTTTGTTAACAATATATTTTTGTTTGTTATTAAATATAAAAAACATTCTTTTACCAATTATTTTTTCTTGATTATTATTAATTAATTCTTTATGATTTGGTATATTAATATCCACAGGGCATAAGATATAAAAGTCTTTTTCAAGAGATTTTTGGAATTAAGATAAGTTTTTTTGATATTTTGGTAAGCAAGAAGCAATATGATTTCAATATTGTGATTACAAATAAAATCTTTATAAAAGTACTCTTTATATTGATTCCAAAGTAATAATAAATTACTAACATTATTTTATATTATTATAGTCACAAATAGTTGTTTTAGCTCTCTTGACATTTGTTACTAAATTTTTTCAGTCAAACATATATCCTATTCATTATTGTTATTTAATAGTTCTCTTGCTAAGACAGCTTCCTAAAAAGAATTATACACATATTTGTTAACAGTTTTGAGATCTCAAAAACTTTTTGCATCAGGTGTATATAATAGTAGTAACCTAAGCCAAAATTATTTTATATCTGAAAAAAAAACAGTATACATTCTGCCAATAATTTTTTTATTAAATTTTACTTGTTTTTTTTATACTCTATTTTGTTTATAAAAAGTATAATATAGTAAAATATTATGGTATAGAATTATTCTTACATTAGAATCTTTTTTATTTAGTTTAAACTATGCTATTAATATTGTATTTAGATTAAGTGCAGTATGAAGAGCTTTTGGATTATTACTTGTAATAAAGTAGAATTATGTTTTTTGAGTAAATGTACTAGTAGTCAAACTATGATATATGATTTTTCTTGTATTTTATATTCACTTAATCTTCAAAATGCCTCAGATGCACTAATATAGCAAGAATTAACATAAGTAGAAATTTCATCAAGTTCAAGTATCTGCATTTCATTATTTCTAATAGTTTTTAATCTTAATTTTGCATGATCATAGTCTTTAAAAATATATTTATATAAATACTTAAAACTTTTTACTAAATTACAAATTTTAACATTAATATGAGCTTAATATTTTAAAAGTAAGTAAGAATTATATAGCACAATCCATTGATTGTCTATTTCATATTTTTCAACTAATATTTTTCTTCTTATGTTTTTTGTCAATATTTTAGAAATTCATTGTTATTTGCAATTGTTTTTGAATAGAATTCTTTAGAATACTTTTTAGTATATATATATTTGTTTTTTTTATCTATACAAGAGGCTTTATGATTTAAATATCTGCATGGACTATGAACTATTGTTTTTGCAATTACCTTATATAATTGTAGATTTTTGATAGAATCATGTATTTTACAACTTACTATTTAATCAATAATATCTGAATTTTATGGTTTATCTTTATCAAAAAAAATTAATAGCATATAACAGTAGGGTAATACATATTTTTGAAATTCAATTACTTTTAAGAGTAGGGGGCAGTATTTCAAAATTATATATAAACCTAATGGTAAATTTTTTTTATATTTAATTTTATGAAA